GTCTGTGCCCCACACGGCCTCCTCCTCATGGCCTCCCCTTGGGGCCAGAGCCACTGTGACCTTCTGGCTTGGACCTGTGGAGTCTGGAGAGAGCCTGATCAGCCAGCAAAGCCCAGACACCTGCCCTTGGCCCACCCGGCTGTGCCTGGAGTTGAGGGGGCATTTCTCACAAAAAGAGAAATGGCTGGGCAGGTGCATGGCAGGATGAACTCTAGACCTGAGCCTTGGAGGCATGTGCAGAAAATCTCCTCCCCATGGGACCCAGAGACCAGAGAACAAATTGAGTGGGCCTTATTCCCTCCCCCCATTATTGTTTTAAAATCTTCTTTTATCACAGTTGCACAAACAGCATTAGAATCATAACTGGGGCAAGCCAGTGGCTGTGGCATGGCGGTTAGGAGACTGGATCCCACGTGGCTGACTGCACAGTTCAAGTCTCAGACCCAGGGGCTTGTATGTGCACGCTTGCCCCAAGTCCCCAAAGGAGACAAAATGGAGAAGAGATTGCTGCATGACCAGTCCCCAAAGGGGTGCCTTTTCCCTTTTGCTCTCTCTCCTGCAAGTACATGTGCCCCGGGAAATTACAAAAAAAAAAAAAAAAAAAAAAAAAAAAAAAAAAACTGGGGAAAAAAAAATAGAAGCCTCTCCTAAGTCCCCCACTAAACCAGCTAACTGCAGTCCAGCCAGCATCTGTGGTAACATTTACATCCCTGTCTGCTGGGCCTATGTAAGGAGCCTTCACATCTGCTTTCTTTACTCTTTCCACTCCACATACCGTAGCCTCTTCTCCAGCCTTCACAGGAGTTTTGCAATGGTGCTGTCTTCTGCAGAGATGGTGCATGGAACTGAGGCTCACAGAAAAATTTCCAGCAATGTCCTTACAAGGCCAAAGACATTTGAAAGACTTTATGGCTCTTGAACCCCATCACTTTTTATTTATATATTTATTTTGAGAGATGTTGCTATAGGGCATGGACGCTTGCCGGAGAGACCAAGAGAAAGTGAGGAATAACCTCCTGGGGGGATGGCCACACCGCAGTCCCTTCTCCTCCATTCTCCTCTTGGGATTTTGGGCACGAATGCACACATGTCCAGCATGAGTTTCAAATTGTCGTGTCCAGGACTCAAACTGTTGTCGATCATGTGAGAGTCTAGTGCCTTAACCACTAGGCTGTCTGCTGGCCTCAGAACCCTGTCACTTTTAATAACAGCTAACCCTGCTTTGTTTCCTATGTGCGGGGCACTTTATAAATGCCATTTCATTCCCAACACTGAGGTAGGTGCTCTCATCTCACACAAGAAGAAATTACGAGGTTAACCAACTTGCCCCAGACCCACAGATAATGAACTGGCAGAGTGAAGGTTTGCACCTTGCAGAGTGACCCAATCCCTTATGTTCACCTCTTGCTAAAGCTACTGGGCTGGTTTTCCAAAGAGTGATGCCGGTCCGTATATCACAGCTGGCTGTAGATGCCATTTTAAAGCCACATCTTCACCAGCAATGAATGAGGACTGGCATTTCCACGTCTGCTGTTTTGGTCCATCAAAATATACAGTACATTTTCATGTACCTGCCTTCCTCCACTACAGGAGGCTGTCTTATTATGTACCAAAATAAGGATATAAAAGGACAAGTGCCCCGTGATAGAAAAGTATCTGAAAAGTAGAGTCACTTAGCTTTGAGCCTCCTGGAAGTGAAGACAACAAAAGGAACTAATGAGCACAATAAAGAAAACCTGCAGATGCAGCCCCATCCTGTCACTCTTCAAGCCCCTTCCAGTGTCACTGCACAACCTATTCCCAGACCCAGCGAGGGGGAAACTTCCCAACTGGCCACAACGGACCACAGAGTAATGAACTCCTAGTGGGAGGGGCGCCAGGGCTCCAGCTCTGCTGCTTGCCAGCAGCGGGGCCCCGTCCTCTTTTGTCCCAGCCCGAGTCGGGCCCCTGAGATGTGTCCCTGGGCCCTACAGTTACAGTTCATGAACTTGGGAGATGGGGGCTTGGAGGGCCAGAGAGCCTAGAGTAAGAATGAAGGCTGGTGTGCCCCTGGCCACCGACTCCCCTGCTTTATCTCTCTCCATCCTTACACTGGCCACGAATGGCTGGTTTGCTCTCTCTGCTCATATTACAGCTATGAGGGCTGAGGGTTGGACACAGCGGCTCAGGTAATGCAGCAAGTCTGTGTTTCTAAGATTACAGCTTAGGACCTGTGATTCCAAGGCCCTGCATCTCTCCCACCTCACAGCATTGCGAGAAGGACCCAGAGGGTGGCCCTGCCTGATTTCAGGCCACCATTCTGGTCTGATAGGCTGTGATGCCAGTGTCCCTCCTGTTGCCCACGGGTTTTTGTTTTTGGGTTTTGCCATAGGGCATGCGTGCTTACGAGAGAGAGAGAGGGAGAGAGAGAGGGAGGGAAAGCAAGGTAATGGTCAGGCTTCAGTTCCTTGTCCTCCATCTCCTCTCAGGACTTTGGGCATGTATGCACACATGCCTGGCATGGTTTTCAAGCCACTGGGTTCAGGACTTGAACCACAGAGTTGGCCATGTGGGAGCCAGTGCCTTAACCTCTACGCTACCCATTGGCCCTCCCTACAGTTTTTTTAAAATCATATCATTTTATGCATTTTATTTATTTTCTCTTTTTTAATGCCCACAGGTTTTTTGGCACTAAATGGATGATGTTCCTGGCTGTGGGCATCTATGCCCTCTTTGTCTCCACTAACTACTGGGAGCGCTACTACACGCTTGTGCCTTCGGCAGTGGCCCTGGGCATGGCCATCGTGCCTCTCTGGGCATCCATGGGCAACTACATCACCAGGTAAGCCTGGTAGGCTATGGGGTGGGTGGCTGGAGACCTGGTTGAGCCTCTGCTGCATTGCCAGCCTGAGCTGGGGGACCTCGGGCAAGCCCCTTTCACCCTTAGTTTCCTGTCTCTGAGGTAAGGGACTGGTCAGCCCCTTGCCCTGGGTGCAGGAAATGGTGTGGTCGAGGTCAGGCTGGGGAGAGCTTCTCCTCCTTTGTGGTCCAGGATGGCGCAGAAATACTATGAGTACTCCCACTACAAGGAGCAGGAAGAGCAGGGGCCTCAGCAGCGTCCTCCGCGGGGCTCCCATGCACCCTATCTCCTGGTCTTCCAAGCCATCTTCTATAGCTTCTTCCATGTAAGTGCTATGCAGAGCCTTGCAGGGAGGGTGGCGATCCTGCAGGCCCAGAACCACACATTGAGGCCCATCTCGGTCTTCCCAGCCCTCATCCCACCTTTCTCTTTTGAACCAACCCTGTTTGTTTATCTCTAGCGACTGAGACCTCATCCCCTCCCCGCCCATAGTGCTGACCAGGAGGAAGTCTTCCTGCATCGCTTCCTTCCTCCCACCTCGCTTCCCTCCTCCCACCATCAGGCCACCCCCAGAGGTGGGAGGGATCCTGTCCCACCAAGGCTGTGCCCACACCCCTCCTCAGACCTGGCCTGTACGCTTGCCTGAGACAGCCCCAACTGTCTTCCTGTCCACAGCTGAGCTTTGCCTGTGCCCAACTGCCCATGATTTATTTCCTGAATGACTACCTGTATGACCTGAACCACACATTGTACAGAGTGCAGAGCTGCGGTTAGTCCTCATGGGGCCAGGGGGTGAGAACCCCAAAGCCTGCTTACCTCCCCATTCAGCCGTCCAGCAGACACAAGGTCCTCACTAGCAGGGTTCCCAGCTGGGAGCCCAGTCCTGGCTCTGGGGGTCAAGGCACAGGGTCCTGTAGGAGTATGTAGTTAGGACATCTGAGCCAGCACGGGGGTGGGGGATAGGGAGTGGGAGGGGAGGGGGCTTCTCAGAAGAGGTGCTATCTGGGCTGAGGCTGCCATGGGATCTCTCTTAGGGCCAGGCACACAGTCAGTGCTCCGTCAGTACAGGTGGGAGATGGGAGGAGATGCTCCTCTTCCTGAAGATAGACCCAGCCTAGAGACTGCTCCAGAAAGGAGCCCTGCACTTGGAAGCACTGTCCCCTACTGGTCCTCCCCACCTCCACTGCCGCCTCGCGTTCTTCCTGGCTAGGTGGACAGTGCGCTACTTGCCCACTCCCCTCTGCAGGCACTAAAAGCGAAGGCATCCTCAGCGGCTTCAACCAGACGGTTCTGCAGACGCTACCGCGGAGCCGGAACCTCATCGTGGTGGAGAGCGTGCTCATGGCGGTGGCTTTCCTGGCCATGCTGCTGGTGCGGATGGGCTGGGAGTGTGGTGGAGCGCGAGGCAGAGTGCGCGTCTGGGGATTCAGTCGGGGAGGGGGGAGTGCGGTTTTAGTTCGTGGCTGGCAGCTAGGAGGCTCGGCCTAGAGGGAGGACGGTAGGACTGAGTCCAGGAGGCAAGGCTGAGTCCCGGGAAGGGTCCTGAGACCGGAGGCGTGGCTGATGCTTGTGGACCGAGGCTGAAGTTGGAATCCCTGGGGTCAAAGGAGGGGGGGCGGCCAGGCCTGAGCCCCGAGTCAATCTGGAGAAGGGGACCGATCGAGTTGTCTGCCAGCTGTGATGGGGCTGAGGGCTGGACGTGGGGTCCAGGAAGGCGGCAGTGCGAGGCCGGACTTAGGGTTTGGCGGCCGAGACTGGGGGTGGGCCTTGGAGTCAAGACCAGAGGTGTGTGAGGGGCGGGGCCTCGGGCCGAAGGTGTGGCCAAGGCAAGGCGGGACCTGCGGGTGAGTCTTGGCAGCAAGCTGAGAGGCAAGGCTGAAGTCTGGGTTTGTGAGTGAATGAATGATTTTTTTTCTTTTTTGAGAGCGATTTTTGCTATAGGGCATGTGCGCTGGCGGGAGAGACAGAAACAGACAGAAAGCTCCAGGCTGCAATCCCTTCTCCATTCTCCTCTGGGGACTTTGGGTATGCAGGCACACACCCCTGGCTTGAGTTTTAAGCCTGCGGGTCTGGGACTCAAACTGCAATCGAGTAGGAGGGCGTCCAGCGACCTAACCATTGCTATCGGCTGACCCCAATAAATGAGTGTTTTTGAGGGGGCGGTGCAGTCCTGGTCTGCGAGGCAGGAACCAAGTCTATGGGGGTGGGGGCGTGGCCTCGGGACCTGGGGGCGTGACACAGGGCGTGGCCTAGAGAAGGCCTCGGCTACAGCTGTCTGCGGGGCGGGCCCGAGATCTCATAGCCGGCCGCAGTGGCTGGACGCCCCTTCACCGCGTGGGTCCGTAGGTGCTGGGGCTGTGCGGTGCTGCTTACCGGCCCACCGAGGAAATCGACCTGCGCAGCGTGGGCTGGGGCAACATCTTCCAGCTGCCCTTCAAGCACGTGCGTGACTTCCGCCTGCGCCACCTAGTGCCCTTCTTTATCTATAGCGGCTTCGAGGTGCTCTTCGCCTGCACTGGTCTGGCCCTAGTAAGTACAGTCTGCTTAAAGTTGCCGGGTAAAATACAGGACGTCCAGTTAAATCTAACTTTTAGATAAACGATGACTACGTCCTAATTGTGTGTATAAATATGTAGAGGTATGTCGCACATATGCCTCTCCTTTTTATTTCTAACCTCTCTTCCCCCGTTGTCCCTTTACTTTGGGTAAGTTATTTAAATCTCTCCGAAGTTGAAATGGGATTAACACCTGCATGCATCGTTTCACGTAGGGTACAGCCTTGGTGTCTAAGGAGACGGTCCAAACATTTTCACATTGTCTGTCTTCCACTGAACCTTCTTGTGAGCCTTGGAGGGAGTTAGCACCCTCCACAGTAGTCCGGAGAGGGCTGGGTACGGGGAGGGCCAGAGCTGGACTATCTGACCTTCAGTTCTCACCTTCTGTCCCCACAGGGCTATGGCGTGTGCTCCCTGGGGCTGGAGCGGCTGGCCTACCTTCTTGTGGCTTACAGCCTGGGCGCCTCAGCTGCCTCATTCCTGGGCTTGCTGGGGCTGTGGCTGCCACGCTCCGTGCCCCTGGTGGCTGGGGCAGGGCTACACCTGCTACTCACCCTGGGCCTCTTCTTCTGGGCCCCCAAGCCTCGGGTCCTGCAATACAGCTGGGTCCTGTATGTGACAGCCATCCTCTGGGGTGTGGGCAGTGCCCTCAACAAGACGGGACTCAGCAGTGAGTATAGCTTCGGGCATTGGATGGCTGGGCAGGGAGCCTTATGGCTGCTTCCAGGACTTTGGGGTGGCATAGACATTCCAGAAGGGACGTGGGGCCCCATGGACACATAAGGCATCTGCCATGGGGGCCTGTGAATACGGCAGAGACAGGTGGAAATTCCTGCAGATGCTTCAGGGGTTGAAGGAAGGCCTGTGGGCATTGTAGGGACAGAAGGAGAGGGCCGTGGACACCCTGGAGGCAGGTATGGGAGTTCCATGCCATGGACATTCTGTTGCTACTCTAGACTCGGCTTAGGGCTGTATAAACCTGACCACTGGGAGGTCTTGTTTAAACAGGGTGGGTGTGAGGTTTCACAAACACCCTGGGGACTATGGGGAAAAAAACACATCAAGGATACTTCCTCTACTACTAGGAGACAGGGCCTAGGCAGAGTTGTATAACATTAGGACTAGCTGTCAGGGTCTCTGCCCCAGGGCATGGGTAGAAGGAGGTGGCCCTACCCACACCCCAGGGTGTAGCTACAGATATGGATCTTTTCATTGAGAGGAGTCAGGGGTAAGCAAGTAACCCCAATGGAGTCTGCCCAGCAGGGTCCAGGCCCCAAGTCTGCACTGCTGGGGAATGGAGCCCAGATTACAGAAAGCAGGGCCTGGACCAGAGGTCCGCTGTGTGATGCTCTGTCTTTGGTAGGAACATGCCAGTGATGTTCTTGGCATGGAGGTGCAGCTGTGTGGCCGTCCACCCTGGCAACTGTCCTGAAACAGTTTTGAGCTGTTAACACCCCTGGGGCTCTAAAGCGGTGGAGGTCATGTCTGCTATAGGCAGGGCAGCGGCTGGCCGAGGTGACTCTTGCAACCAATGTGTGAAAATTAGGCATCTCTGTCTTTCCGTGATAGAGGCCCACACTCTGGACCATGTTTTCTTGGCCGTTGTGCTCAAGGGCAGCCAGCTCTGGGCAGCGTCCAACCTGGGCACTTTGGGCCTGTGCTGTGTGTGGACTTGGGCTTGGTCCTGGCATCCCCTTTGCCCAGATCTACTTCTTCTGTCTCCTCCTTGAGACCCCAGAGGTTCTATGTCCCTTCATAACACCCACATGGGGTACAGTTTCTGCAGGGTTCTCAGGACAGGGATGCTAGTGCCCTGAGTGCCTGGCGAAGGTGTTAACAGCAGCTCCCATGGTTTTCCGGGTACAGTGTGGCCTTTCTCACGTTAGAACTGCCTGACAGCAAACACCGCGTGCCGGCTCATTTCACAGTGGGGAAAGGTGGCTCTGTGGAATTAGGTAATTTACCCCATATCATCCAAGGTATATTTAGAATTATTCAGGGCCAGCAGATGGTGTAGCAGTTACATCACATGGCTGACTGTGGTTTGAATCCCAGACCCAGTGGCTTGAAACTCGTGCCAGGCACGTGTGTGTGTGTGTGTGTGTGTGTGTGTGTGTATGTGTGTACCCAAAATCCAGAGAGGAGAATGGAGAAGGGATTGTGGCATGACCATCCTCCCCAGGGGGGGGGTGATTTCTCACTTTCCCTCTCCCTGTGTCCACCTCTGTGCACGTGCCCTAAGGCAAAAACCTCTACCCCCCCCCAATTATTTAATTTTATTAATATTATTTTTAAAAAGTTTACTATAGGGTATGTTTGTTCACCAGAAAAAGACAGAGAGAGGCAGACAGATAGACAGAGAGAGAGAAGGAAAGTGAGAAAGCAAGCCGTCAGGTCCAGGACTTGAACCGCAGTCAGCCATGGGAGGTCCAGTGCCTTAAGTACACCACCTGTGGCATCCCCAAGAGCCAGATTTGAACCCACATCTCTGTACCTCTCAGCATGCAACTCTCTCTACCTCTCAGCCCTGGAGGCTAGAGCCCGAGTGCCCTGACCCCTGTCCAGTGCTCTTCCTGCCCACCCAGGAGGATTCTTGGGAAAACAGGAAAACAAGTCCCATCACCACGATTCACACACAATTTCGGTTAGATTTGTAGAAGTCGGTTGCTGCAGTTTGCCATTCCTAACCCCAGATGAGGAGGAGAAACAGCCCCTGAACACTGAGCACTACATAGCTGAAGTCAGAAATAGGACATGACTAAGGATAGAGCTTTCTTTTGGGGTCACACTTGCGTCCCGGGGTCACACTTGCGTCCCAAAGCCACACAGCTGGGCTCACCTCACCTGTTCCTACCGCTTTGTGCCTGGGCAGCATGTAACCATAGTGTCCACTAGGGGGCGAGCCAAGACCATCATCCAGTGTTCCTGGGAGCTCTAGGGCCTAGGGTCCCCAGGGGGGGGGTGATTTCTCACTTTCCCTCTCCCTGTGTCCACCTCTGTGCACGTGCCCTAAGGCAAAAACCTCTACCCCCCCCCAATTATTTAATTTTATTAATATTATTTTTAAAAAGTTTACTATAGGGTATGTTTGTTCACCAGAAAAAGACAGAGAGAGGCAGACAGATAGACAGAGAGAGAGAAGGAAAGTGAGAAAGCAAGCCGTCAGGTCCAGGACTTGAACCGCAGTCAGCCATGGGAGGTCCAGTGCCTTAAGTACACCACCTGTGGCATCCCCAAGAGCCAGATTTGAACCCACATCTCTGTACCTCTCAGCATGCAACTCTCTCTACCTCTCAGCCCTGGAGGCTAGAGCCCGAGTGCCCTGACCCCTGTCCAGTGCTCTTCCTGCCCACCCAGGAGGATTCTTGGGAAAACAGGAAAACAAGTCCCATCACCACGATTCACACACAATTTCGGTTAGATTTGTAGAAGTCGGTTGCTGCAGTTTGCCATTCCTAACCCCAGATGAGGAGGAGAAACAGCCCCTGAACACTGAGCACTACATAGCTGAAGTCAGAAATAGGACATGACTAAGGATAGAGCTTTCTTTTGGGGTCACACTTGCGTCCCGGGGTCACACTTGCGTCCCAAAGCCACACAGCTGGGCTCACCTCACCTGTTCCTACCGCTTTGTGCCTGGGCAGCATGTAACCATAGTGTCCACTAGGGGGCGAGCCAAGACCATCATCCAGTGTTCCTGGGAGCTCTAGGGCCTAGGAGAGCCGCAGGTGGGAGGACAACAACCCCAGGTGTAGGTGACGCCTCTTCCCTGAATGCAGCACTCCTGGGAGTCCTGTATGAGGACAAAGAAAGACAAGACTTCATCTTCACCATCTACCACTGGTGGCAGGCTGTGGCCATCTTCATCGTGTACTTGGGTTCGAGCCTGCCCATGAAGGTGAGGCTGGAGTGCGGGGGTGTGGGAGGGTTAGGGACCCCCATACCTTACCCCAGGCAGCAGATGCTTTCTGAGCTCCACCTGGCTTCTTCTCAGCCTCCTGAAGGGCACCACTTCTCCATGTCCAGGCCTTGGCCAAGGACCCATTTGGTGGCTCCCAACCTGGCACCCCACTTAATGCCTCATCTCCCACCAGCCTCAGATTACCCATCTCCAGAGGGGTTCATAGTTTGCCTCCCTCTTGTGGGTGCATCCTGTCTGCCCTGTGGACTGCCTGGTGATGCATTCAGCAGATGTCGCCAGAGCTGCATGTCCAGGCAGGGTTTGTCTCCCTTCATGGACTCCAAGGGAGCAGGCTCCTGGTGCTTTGCTCCCCAAAGAGAGTGGGCCAGCTTAGCAGTCCCAACCAGCATTTAAAAAAATTATTTATTTTAATTTTGTTTAATCATTCATTTATTTTCATTTGACCAGAGAGAGACACAGAGAGAGTTAGAGAAAGTGAGAAAGCAAGCCACCAGCTCCAGGACTCGAACTGCAGTTGGCTATGCGGGAGTGTCCAGCACCTTAACTATTATGCTACCTGCTGTTCCCCCCGACCAACATTTAAGAAAAAACTATAGAAACTACTAGAGAATGTACCTACAAATATGTATGCGTGTATCGCCTTATGCTGTAAAATGATTTCTGACAGGATTACAGTCAAAGCATCTGAAAGGCCCAGGAGCTGAAGCAGCTAGCCAGCACATGAGGCCATGTGAGACTCCTGGATTTGATTCCCCATTCATCCGAAAAGCTCGGCGGAGTCCTTTGAGACCCTGCATTTAAAAATAAATCTGAAAAGCATTACTATGGTTCAGGAGGACGATGGTCCATAGTGTTTAAGGAACATGAGGTCAGCCCTGCATCTAGCACTTTATCAGCATCTTCACATCCACCCCATGAGGCGGAGGGGTTATCAGTCTTTCCTCATAGAGTTGAGGAAATAGGCCTCTGTGGGTATTATGACAGTGAGGGACAGTGCTGGAATTTTTTAAAAATTAGTTTTAAAAATTATTTTATTTATTTTTATTCATTTATTTTAATTTGACCAGAGAGGGACAGAACGAGAGAGCGAGAGAGCAAGAGAGAGAGAGAAAGAGAAAGGGAAAGTGAGAAAGCAAGCCCCCAAGTCCAGGACTCGAACTGTATTTGGCCATGTGAGAGTCCATGTGAGAGTCCCTTAACCACTACGCCACCTGCTGGCCCCCAAGCGTTGGAATTTAAGACTTCCCAAAAGTGTGCCCAAGGGGCCAGCAGGTGGCCTGGTGGTTAATGGCAAAAGTGTGCCCAAGGGGCCAGTAGGTGGCCTGGTGGTTAAGGTGCTGAAGCCCACATATATGACTTCTGCAGCTCGAGTCCTGGACCCAGCCACTTAAACTCACACCAGGTGCATGTGCATGCAGGCCCGAGAGGAGAACAGAGGAGGAGGGATTATGCATGGCCATTCCCCGGGGGTGATTTCTTTCTGTTTCCCGGGGAACCATGCTCCCTATAGCAAAAATCTCTCTTTTAAAAGAAAAGAAAGAAAAAAACATGTCAGGCACATGTGTATGCTTGCTCCAAATCCTCAGAGGAGAATGAAGGAGAAGGGACTGTGGCAGGGCCATGTTCCCTGGGGTGTGATTTCTCGCTTTCCCTCTGTCTCCCTTTCCTGAACATAGGCGCCCTATAACGAAAAACTTTAGGAAAAAAAAAAAAGAGGGGAAGAAAAAAAGAAAAGCGCGAGTGGAGGGACTGGAGGAGTGGAGAGCCATCGGGCAGGGGAGACTCCCGAGGGAAGGACAGGACCGCAGAGAAGAACTGTGGGGTGCGTGGCAGAAAATGGGAGCCGACCTGTCCAGGCTAAGGAAGGCGCTGGGCAAGGCAGTCCGCGGGTCCCCTGAATCCTCCTTTTGTGCCCAGGCTAAGCTGGCGGTGTTACTGGTGACGCTGGTGGCGGCCGTGGCCTCGTACCTGCGCATGGAACAGAAGCTGCAGCGGGGCGTGGTCCCGCGCCAGCCCCGCATCCCGCGGCCACAGCATAAAGTGCGGGGCTACCGCTACCTGGAGGAGGACAACTCGGACGAGAGCGACCAGGAGGGGGAGCGCGGCGCCGGCGGCGGCGGAGGCGGCGGCCACCGGGAGGACTGTGCGGACGATGCACTGCCCGCCGGGCCTCGGCCCAGGGCGGACCAAGGCCCCTGCCGCCGGCCCTGCCCCTACGAACAGGCACAGGGGGGTGACGGGCCCGAGGAGCTGTGAGGGACCGGGGCAGCCTGGCTCCTGGATTCGGCTTCCTCGCTTGCAGCCAACTTTACCATCTTTCAGATCGGCGCGGGGGTCCCTTCTGAATCCTGCCCCATCTTCAGGAAGGACTCTCTGCCCTTTCCCCATACTGGGAGATGGGGCTCCTGGAGCTGGAAATCACCTAGAACTTGCGCAGCCGTCTCCTCCTTGGCGGGACCAGGCCTTGAGACCCCCTAGGCTAAGCCCAGGGTTCGAAACCCGGAAGGGTCTTCACAACCCTCCCCCACCAAGACCGTCATCCCCAGCACGTGCCCCAGCCCCAGAGCAGGAGACAGGTCTTTCTGCAAACTGCACCCCCACACCGGGTTCCTCCTGGCTCCCTGCCTCAGGATTGGCCTGCTTTGAAGCACATTTTGCATTTCCTATTCCCAGATTTTACCAAGATGCACTTTTTTTTTTTTTGCTAGAAAATAAACAATAAAGAGATTTTGTATTGTTCTGACTGGAGAGTCTCAGGCCATGGAGGGGAGGAGGGTGCCTGCCTGTATGCCTGGCTGATCCAGCCCCTGGGACGCTGTCATGGGAGGCCTTGCTTGACCTGCTGCTGCTGCTGCCAGCAGAGGGGCATACCTAAGCCCTGCTCACAAGGCTGACCTCCTCTTCTGGAGCCCTGCCACTTCCCGCCCCTGCCTGCATTTGTGGCTGCATCCACCCCAGAGAGAGGAAAAAAATCCACCCGGGAGGAGGAAGCCGCTGAAGTGGCTTGCAGGGATCTCAGTGTAGGCGGTGCCAGGGTTGCCAGCCGTCGTGAGCCTAGAGGAAGAGACTGACTCCAGAGGCCCAGAGAGCCTGGACACACATTCCCAGCCCTCCAGCTCACCCCGATTGTTTTAGGGCATTTCTGCTCACGGCTTTCCAAGGCACAGCTTTGGAGGGGATGACCAGTATGAGCCCAGGATCTGCGCCCAGGTAAAGGCCGCTGCCCTCTCCAAGCTACAACCTCAGCCTTGATGCCCACGAGAAAGGCGGAGGCTAGCAGAGCAGGCAGACCCCCATAAGGCCTGACGGCACCTCTTTATCCAGCCCTCTGTTACAGCCAGAGACTGAGACCCCTCTGTGAAGAGCCCTGAGCAGTTAGGTGAGGACAAGCAAGGGGTCATGGGAGAGTCGTGGCACCCCAAAGAGGCCCTCTGCTGGGGCCACACCGTTCCTCACTCCCACAGCCCCCAGGGGTTGGAAGCCAGACCTTTGTTCCTACAGCACAGCTCTGACCCACTTCAGGATCACAGCTCAGAGGTTCGCCCCCATAAACCGTGGCTCCTGTCCCTCTCCCCTTTACCTCCCTTGCCTTCACTTTGGTGTGGTTCTAGCAACTGTGGTAGGATTGCGGTCAGGCTCTGTGACCTTGACCAGTCAATCCATCTGAGGCACAGGTCCGTTTTCTGTAAAGTGCATCTCTGTTAAAGAGAGGGTGTGTTAGATGACTCAGCTCCAAGGTCCTTCCACCGGGTAGGAAACTCACAAGGCCACAGCGGATATTTAAGTTTCTTTCTCTTTTTTCCTTTCTTTTTAAAATTTAGGGGTTTTTTTGTTTGTTTGTTTGTTTTGTTTTTGTATTTTCTATGGGGCATATGAGCTCATTGAAGAGAGACACAGAGAGTGAAAAAGTGCCCCTGGGGGGATGGCCACGTCACAGTCCCCTCTCCCATTCTCTTCTCAGGATTTCAGGCACATGTGCACACATGCCCAGCCTGTTTTTCAAGCTGTTGGGTCCAGAACTCGAACCACAAAGTTGGCCCTGTCAGAATCTAGCCTCTTTAACCACCACACCAGCAGCGGCCCCAGATTTTAAATTTTCTAAATGTTGAAGGAAAAGCCACCAGCCTCACATGTAGACTTTCAGTTACAAGCAGACCCAGAAAGAGTGACAGGGTGTAGGGACCAGCAGTTGACGTAATGGCTAACTGGACTCTCATGTAGTTGACTGTGGTTCAAGTCCCAGACCCAGTGGCTTAAACTCAAGCCGGGCGCATGTGCGTGCATGCCCAAGAAGGGGAGAATGGAGGAGAGGGGGTTGTGGTGTGGCCATCCCCCCCTGGGGGGTGATTTCTTGCTTTCTGTCTGTCTCTCTCTGTGTCTCTGATGAGTGCACGCGCCCTATAGTAAAAACTTCTCAAAAAAAAAAAAAAAAGTGACAGGGTGTAGGTGTAGTAACGAGCCAGCGTCTGTCCTTCCAGTTCCCAAGTTCTCCATCTGCATGTCCTGCTGGCAGATGTGGCAACATCCTCTTGACAGGGTTCCAGCTGAGCTCCAGTCAGAGTTGGGCAAGCAGGCGCTTGAGTAATCGGCATCCCAACGCAGGGAGGGTGCTGTTTGGAAGGGCGCCCCTCTGCAGGCCGGACAAACGGGGAGGGCATCCCTGGGCAATCAATGGGTTATAACTTGCAACGGTTCAAAGTCATTTCTTTATCTCTCTTCTTAAGTTTTTAAATTTATTTTATGAAGGAGAGAGAGAACCATCCTCAACAGGGCCTCACACCAAAATCCTCACCCAGCCTTCCCAGCCAGGATCACAGACACACACATACACTCAGTGTGTACAGGTACAGGTCGACCTGGAAGCCGCACCCTGATCTTCCATATGGCTTCCAGCATCGCTGAGTGTTGCACTACTGCTTCACCACTGTGGCTGGGCCAAAGCCCTTCCTAACGTCCATTCTACTAAGGGACAAAGACGCTGGTGCGAAGCAAACCTGGAGGTGGCTGAGGCTCAGGAACTGTACTCCTCTTACCAGGTGTGTTCTTTTAGAGTTTTGTTTTGTTTTGTTTTGTTTTAAGGCGTGTGAGCTCACAGGAAAGACAGAAGAGACAGAGACAGAAAGCAAGAAATCACACCCCAGGGAGATGGCCATACCACAATCCCTTCTTCTCTATTCTCCTCTCAGGATCTTGGGCACACACGCACACGTGCCCAGCATGAATTTAAGAGGATGTGACAATTCTCAGGCACACTGTGCCATGTCAGTAGACACCCAATGATCCTGACTATAAAATCATCCATGTCAGCCTTCAAGATATCTTTGATTTTGTTTGATTCTAGCCAGCTGATCCTCACAGGTCATAAACAATGACAAGGATGTAGATTTGGGCAAAATCATAGACCAAGAAGGAAGACTTTTAAGACTTGGTAGCACTTTTAAGACTCCTTACTTTAATAGCCTCTAAAGTAACATTATAAAGCAGGAGAATTAACTGATCTGATCTAGGTCTATAGTAGAAGAAATCTGGCAGCCATAGATAGAAGTGAAAGCTACTTGCAAACTAAAATAATACAGGGCTGGATATAATTATCAAGGCCAAAGTCTGCTGTGAATTCAAACTCAAGCTCTGTTCATTACTTGCTGAGTAGTCCAGGGTACATGATCTACCCCTTAAGTTCCTTCTTCTCACCCTCAGTTTGCTTCGCCGTAGGTCTCTTGTCAGTGTTACTAAGGTAATTCATGATCACAGAAACCTAGGAACCAGCATGAGGCAAGTGTTCAATAAATGGTTACTTTTCCTGCTGCTGTTGTAATAAACTAAAACCAAACCAAACCAAAAACAGCAACAACAAAACCATCGAGGGCTGGAGTAGTGATGGTTCTAAACTAAAAGAAGGAAAACAGATACAAAGGGACTTTTTTTTTTTTTTGAGAGAGATTTTCGCTATAGGGCACGTGTGCTCGCCAGACAGACAGAGAGAGACATAGAGACAGAAAGCAAGAAATCACCCCCCAGGGGGGATGGTCACGCCGCAATCCCTTCTCCTCCATTCTCCCCTCGGGATCT